TAGGGAATGACCCATGGTAACATGTTTCTTTGTTCAACTTGTATCCATATTCATGTGTCTTCTCATGCGCAACCGTTAAGCAAAGAATTGGTGCTCTAGGRAATGACACGTGATATGCAATGGGAAAACATTACGGCAAAGGTAAAGTGGTCTATTGGATTTTGAATAGAATACAAGAAATGCAGACCACTTTATAACATAACCTTACGCCATCAACCTACTTTTTATCTTCTTCAGTTGGTTTAGACATCTCTGTGTCGAGAACTTCCAACAGTGTTCTGAAAGGAAAGAAAGAGACTACATCTAGTAAAAAGATAAAGAAAGCCATAAAATTGAACATGACACTCATACCTGACAATATTGAAGGCTGTGGGTGCTGAGAGATCTGCTAACTGAGAGCARACACGACGAAGAACTTGCTGTAGGTTGTGGCACGCTGACACCGCAAGCGACTTGAGTATTCCCTGTAGATCAGAGCTCAGGGGGTTCAAGTGGGCRCTCCATAGTAACCTGTGGTTCATGACTTGAATGACGTCTTCTGGGGTCAAATCCTAATACAAACAACAGTAGAATATATCATAAGAATATTTTTCACTTTTCTGCAAGTCGACATTCGTTAACGAAGAGGCGCGCAGACACAAAGGGGAATCTCCGATTAGGAAAAATTAGGGCTCGCCATAACAAGCGTCTTGCACTATACTTCCCCCCTTACTTTTACTGTTTATGCTTGGCAGACTTGACAGAATATCTTGACCTACAAATTCCTTAGACGTCCCTTTACATAAATTTACTAATCACATACAGATACACGGTAAAACGCACCCTTTCCCATCGTGTACCTGAAGCTCAGCATTTATGTAATGTGTCTGCAAGGCTAATTTGTTATAATATACGGGACAAATGCCTTCCCGTATTCCCCAATCTCCCAGTCAATAATTTTTTTTATTTTATAAAATAGGGGGTTATAACGCGCGTTCTGATTGGTTAAAATGTCATTTTAAAAGTAAGTTTATCTTACAAGCTCACGTCATTTTTTTCGAACGCACGCTCAGAATCTCCATATTTATGTGAAAAATAAAACAGTATTTTTTTTAAAATTTAAAGGTAAAGGTAAAGTACCTATATTTAACGTCGGTAGTTCCTTCAGTTGAAATTCAACTGCTATCAATGGAAGCCGACGGTGCCCACTTTACCCCCTCTCTCCATCAGTGCTCTGTTTTAAGAGTATTTAAAGCTGAAGCTACACGGATTAGAGAGAAGTCGAAACAGACGTGGAGATCCTAAGGATCGAACCGTGGAACTCAAGCTCTGAAGGTCGCGCACTAACCAACTGAGCTACGCCTGCTCCTGTCCTTGTTATTTTATAGGAGAGATATACTAACCTCTAAAGTATGCATAGGTAAAGGTATTGGAAGTAACTCAGAAAGCAACACAAGGCCACCCAAAAAAGCCTAGAAAAATATACACAACAACTATCAACAAAT